AACAAACTCAGAAGTCCAAGAAGCAAGAGATAAAAGTTTTAAAAAAAAAAAACTTAGACAAGCCGATTCCGCAAGATCGGATGGCGTCTCTTCCCTCAAGTCCTCCACTGATCATCAAAATTCGAGAATCTTCTACACCAACCCAAGCCCGTGGCGAAAAACCCCTAAAACTCGAACGCAAAACCTCAAACTCGAACTCGAACATTTCCCCAACACGAGAACAGATTCGAGCTCGAGCTCAAAACCATTTGACCTTGCAACAAAGACGAAGAAGAGAGAATGAGGAACGGAGGACTCACGGATTGGTGAGGCCGGACGAGCGAAGCGAACCGGGAGCCTCCTCGGTTGCGTAATTGCGTTCTTGCGGCGAAGAGAGAAGCGAGACAGAGGAGCGGCAAAGAGAGAAGAGAGGTAGGTAACGTGATCATCATTTAGGGGTTTTTTTTTACATTATCTTAAAATCGGTTCTAAAACAGTCCGGGTCGGTTTTTACTTGAACCGGAAACCCAGGACCGGTTTTAACCGATTCCAAAAAATGGAACCGGTTCCCAAACCGTTAACAAGAACCAAGTCCGGGCCTTGTTTTCGAGTGGGTCGGTCCGGTTTCGGTAAACCGGTCCGGTTGCACACCCCTAGTGGCTGAAGGAGCCATGCCTCATCTTTCTCGATTAGGGATCGGCCCGTCCCAAATTGAAGACGTTACCTGAACTTGAAGGAGTCCACACCCATGACGGTTCTGAAGAAGTTGATCGTGAGTATTGGAAGAGCCGTCGTCTTTGACGGTGGTGAGAGAGAGATATGAGATGTGGGTGGTCACGGGGGGCCCCAGCCGCCCGCAGAGAGAGAGAGAGAGAGAGAGAGAGAGAGAGAGAGTGGGGTGTGTGTTGCGGAGAAAATGGGGTGGTGTGTTGTCGGGGGTAGCCCTCAACCCCCCCCGCACAAAAGATAACAGCAGATGCGGAAAATGGAAAACTTTAATTATTAATATCGCAATAATGCTTTATAAAATTGATATAAGAGTATAAATATCCAATCTGGTATTATTATTAGCGAGAACCGACTATTTATTACGGCAATCCTTAAATAAATTATTCCATGCCGTCTTCTCTTTTTCTTTTTTCTTTTTTATCACAAATCATTGTTCGTTTCATTTCCCCCTCTCATCCTCGTGGACTTCAATCAGTTGGGGGACTCTGTTTGTTTCGCTCGCTCTGGAGATGGCTCGGGGACTTTTGCTCATGGGAAGACTGCGAAGTTTTCGGGAGCGCCGTGAGGAGAGGCGGAGCGAATTCGACGCTTCTCCAGAAGACGCTGGATGGTGGGAGGGAGGCATACATGAAGGGAATAAGAGTCGATCGCTCGCGGTGTTGAAGGGCGCCATCTGTGAAAGCTGCTGCCATTGGAGGGGAGGGGAGAGGAGATCCGATCATTTCCCATAGTGCTGGTCAGATGTTTGACGAAATGCGCATGCGAGCGGAAACTGGGGGTAACATAAATCTTGAAGTCGGCGTGTCGCTTTCGGCTCGTGCAATCGATTTCTCTGTGTATATATATATAGATAAACGATGACGAGAAATACAACCGTGCATTTTGCACGCCCCAGTCTCCTACATTTTTTTTTGTCATCAGTAGCCCCGTCTCCTACATGTAAGGCTGCAAGATATATACTTAAAAGACTCTTTCATGTGCGCTTACATTACCTCTTTCCCTTTGAGCAACAGCAGCAGTGAAATTGCTGGATGTAGTCAGAGAGCATATGATTATATGTCGATTAGTGACGCACGGCAAATGTTGCTCTTCTCCTGCGACCAAGAACTTGCGGTATATGTCAAGGAGGTAAATATTATGTGAGAGGATTTTGGCTTTCGCTGCCTGGATTTCTATTCTCGATTGATTAATTAAGTCGAAAAGATGATATCCGCTCCAGCATCAGTCCAGAAATTTCTTTTCCCCTTAATTTTTTCCTAAACTCCAGATTGAGCTCTGTGAACGTGTGATTTCGCTTTCTATCTTTGCTGCATAAAGCTCTCAAGACCGAGCAGAATCGATGAATCTGGGGTTTGCAATTTCGTAGAGTCTTGAGTGATCCAAATTCATATCATTGCATGTGCTCTTTGCTCTCTTAGTGAGATTCTTTCTCTTGTTTTTTTCTTCTTCTTTTTTGGACTTGCTGTTTGGCAATGCTCTACGTGATCAGTGAATTGACAGAACAAGAAGAAAAGTTTGCTAGCGTTGGCAATAACTGTTGTCATCAGCACATGAAGAGCTCTGACTTTTGCAAAATAAACATCTCCGGGATTATAGCCTCAGCTTTGTGGGAAGGAAATGGTGAGATAAGAATATGGGAAGAACAACAAGAAGAAGAAAGTAAGTCTTCATGATTTGGCAGGATGGTGAAAGAGAATAGAGAAGGAAAACATTCTCTTTGTTACAATGAAAATTAGAACTAGGCCGAGGTGGTGTCTTGGAATTGGATAATGACAGTCAATGCACGAGGGTGTGAATTTGGATCTGATTGCTTCATCTTCGTTGTAACAGGTGAAGATACTCTTAAACTTCGGTATGATGGATGCTTCCCAGTTGCCTGCTTCAGTTTCTGCTTCTCAGGAAGCTTCCAATTATGATGAGCTCTCCACGAAACAGAGGTTGAACTTTTTAGATAGCCTGAAGGTACTTCATAATACACCTGGAGCTTTCTTCAGTGCAAAACTACTGCTATACTTCTTCTGGTATTTGATGTAATTTTCCTTTATGTTCCCATTTTCCACTTTCATATCCATATGTGTTCACGAACAAGATACTTTCCTCTACCTTTTTCGCGTATTAGATTATCAAATTCCTTGTGATCTAGTCTGCGTCCTGAACAAATATCAGGGTGAAAAGGTTCGGATTCGTTATGCATGCTAATCATAGCCTTTTTCACTAATCAGGACCTGAAGGGATCTTAGGAAGCAGTTGTACTTGGCAGCTGACTATTTTGAATTGTCTTACAACAGACATGATCAGAGACAATTGTGAGATAAATAGGTTTTCACTCCATTGTCGTGTACTGGGTTGAGCATTTCTTCCTGTTGCACATCTGTTAAATTGCCTCGACAATATTGTAGAGTGGTGAACACATTAAAAGATCATGCGACGAAAGCTTTCATAAACACTGTGGATCACTTGGGCTCCTTGACTTATAACTGTCTCCTGGATGACAAGATTGAGGAAGCATTTCCAATTGAGCTCAGATTCTCTTGCGCTCTACAGGTGTGCAATATAATTAGCTTTTCCTTGTTTTGTAGCGTCAAGGATGGGAAGGGCATGCATACTCTCTGATCTACCATCTGCAGGGTATAACAGATTGCAGCTGATCAAGAAGAATTAAGTTCTTGAAAATCTGAAATTACTCCAGATACACTCCATAATGTGCCAGATTTTATCACATTGTGACAAACTAATTATTGTGCTTCGACAACAGTATGGAAAATGGCAGGGAGAACTGCCATTTCTCGTGCCACCAACTAATTTATCACAAGTAGTGATATAACTTTCAACACTGTTCCTGTGTTTTAGAGACATTGACGTGTGAGACGTTCATAGACCATGGAAGCCTTTGTCAGTAATCACTAGCAATAATGTTGAAAATATGTCTCGAGTTTAAGATCAAAGCGAAATTTAAATATTTTGAATTGGATATTTTGCGGCCATTCGAAATCGAGCAAAGTAAAAGAGAGGAGTTTCCTAACGAAGTTGGAGTCTTCGCCCACTGCAAAAAAGGAAAGTCCAATTGTGTCAGAGAAAGGAAGGAAACGCTACTTGAAGTCGGCCAAAGAAAAGTCAAAAGAGGAAAGTTCAAACTTTGACTAGTTGACCGAATGACATGATTTTCCATTATTCCCAAATCCCAACCCATCTTGACGTGGGCTTATGAAGGTGTTCTTCTTTTGGCTATAAATATATTCAGTGGGCACTTAAGTTATTCTCAAAGCGCCGCTTGTGTGTGAGTGCTTGGCGGTGGGCAATCTTCATGATTTTATTCGTGGAATTATATCAAGAATTCAAGTATTAATAGCGATTAAATCTTGTGTTAAGATTTGTATATAATTCTTTTGCGAAATTGAGAGATTATTTCGTGAGGAATTATGGGGTTAAACACTGCGTGAGTTATTGGGTATAATTGGAGCTTGGAAAACACTTAGAGTGTTTGAGTGACTCGAGTATGATTGTAATTTCCGTTATATCGCTTGATCTATAGTGGAATTCCGTGCTACTCTCCCTGTGGATGTAGGTCACTACGACCGAATCACATAAATCTGGTGTCCGATTTATCTTCTTATTCTGTCAAATTTTTTGTTCAATCATTTGGCTTCCGCAACAAATAAGAACTCTGAAGCACCACATGCAATATATCTTACCAGGCACGCTTCCCTTCACATAATTTATCATTTGGTTTATTAAGACCAAAAATTTGGAGTTGGCTCATGCTTAAGAACTTTCTCGGTTTCAAAAGCTAAAGGTGCATGATGGAGTCGGCAAGAATCTAGCAAGTGGCATAAATGGCGAAATGTCCATAGGCGAACATTGTATGACCCTTTTTTCTGATTTAGCTACCATTATGCACATTACACGGAACAAGATTGTTCTATTAGACGTTGAAAGGTCGCGAGTTACAGAACTAGCTGATATCCCGCTCATCATTTGCATGTGTTCAACTTATTCGATCAAAAGAACTTCAAATGCTACTACTGACGTACTAATACCTTCTTTTTCTGAAGACATATCCATAAAACATAGAGACTTCTGCATCATTTGTCAGGAAATTATTCATAGAGTCTGTGGTAATCATCAAAGTTTCGAAGAGACGACGCTGACACAAGAACTTTGATGCAGGAGATGGCACTCGGCAAGACAGTTTCCCCAATCCTCGGCAACCGGTACCTTTTCATTTGCAATTACTTCATCCAACAAAAAGCAGCTCAGCACACTCTTGACTTGAATGCTCCATTTTGCCATACATAGCATTTACGTCATGTTTTCATACCCTACGAGTGTATTATACATCGCGTAGTTGGAAAAGTTCCTAATGCCAACTTCATTTTCTGACGAGAAAAACAGTCCACTTTCCCATTTCATATTCAACTCACACGTTTGGATTCTCTTGTTGATAGATCTACATCTCCAAACCCTTATGATGCGAAAAGATGAGTAAGCAGCAATGAACTCTAGTGCAGCTTAGCTAATAGGTTTTTTTTCTTTTTCTTGTTGCGGACATGTCTTGAGGACATGATCCTTTATGACTGAATCTCTTCTGAATTGCGATTATGTTCCCACATGAACATCCAGTACCCGTTGGAACCCCAAAGATCCACTTCAATGTCTAACCATGTTGAGAGGAATAGGAGAACTGATATTGAGCTATAGTCCAGCAAAAACAAACGTCTCTTCAGTGCTTAGCATGCGGAAGTCAAGAGAGGACAGCAAGTTATACAAGTTCTTGGACAAGAATTAATAAGAACAGGAGATAAAGGAAAGTAGATAGACCCATATCTCAGTTTCGTTACATAGTGTGACCTCAGCTGTATTTGTAAGCTGGCTTAAGCTATTGAGAATAATTTTATGACAGCAAGAAACTGAACGAAAATAAAGTCCAGATAGAATTTCTACAGGGTATTTTAAATATTTTTTCGAAACTCTATTAATTTTTTCTTCTCTTTATTCCTTTTCACTTTTTTCTTCTCTTTTCCTTCTTTTCTTTTTTTTCTTTTTTTTTTTTTTTCATTTTTCCTTATTTCCCTCCACCAGTCATTAGTCTGCTTGATGACCGGCGAGGGCGAGGGTGGGACGCCCTCGCCGACCACAGGCGAGGTCGATGCCCGTGAGGGCTGGGCGAGGGGCCGGATTTGGCGAAGGGCGGCCCCGTCCCACCCTTGCCAAAGGCTAGGCGTGAAGGAAAAGATATGAAGGAGACGAACATGAGGGATGTGCTCGAAGTTGATTCCCCAAGAGGACCTCCTCTGCTTGGGATTATAGAAGGAGAAACGATGCCTGCCCGTGAAATTCGCTAGCATCATCTCACTGTCGATCTAACCCGTACATCTCACCCTCCTCAGCGTCACACAGTCCGCGAAATTCTCTGGAAATGCTACGATGTGAATCTCGTATCTCTTCATCCACTTGCTGCTGCTCGGACCCAAACCTCAATATGTCTCGCCAAGGAATGATTTACTGGCCAGCGATCCTCTCACCTCAAACAACCCTGTTTCGCTCCCAGCACCTTTGACTTCGAGGGCCGTAGTACAGAGAACTCTTCCTTTTCAAGGTCAAATGAAACTATCTCCGGATCAATTCGTCCGGTAAGGGCTGGGCGAGGTCCCCTCATGAGGAGCCCAACCCTTGTTGGCCCTCGCCAAAGGCCAGCTAGGGCCGGCCTCGCCCCTTGCCTTGCCGGCAACCTTCGCCGGCCATCATGGAGGCTGGCCACTAGCGGAGGTAAATAAGGAAAAAGGAAAAGTAAAGAAAAAAAGGAAAAGAGAAGGAAAAAAAAGAAAAGGAAAAAGAAAAGAAAAGATTAATAAAAAATTGAAAAATATTTTAAAAAATGTCTATGACAGCGTTAATCATGTCACGTAGGATAGCCAGTGTTCACATCCGCAATTTCTGGCCTAAATTGGACGGATTGACTCAATTTATATCAATATTAAAATGTTTAGGATTAAATTAGTCTACTTGAAAGGTTAATGACTAAATTGGTACCAATGTAATAGGTTTAAGACTTTTTTAATATTTCTCCCCATCATTGATTGGGAGACAGCAAACTAATCCTGGCCATTAAATCAAAGTCTTCTCATATTGACAATCAGATTTTGCTCGATAAATTCCACGGTGCGGCAAGGTCTTGCATTATAGGTGAAAAGATAGTCGATCCAAAGCCAAGACTATGGTCCCTCTCCCTTCACTTAGGCTCCTCAAATGTGAAGTTGGCTAATATTGACTTGTAACAAAAGAAAATTCCACTAATGAAACTTGATGGTGTATTGGGATAAGTGCACTGAAAGCTCTAAAATCTATCTCGAAAGTAAAATTGAGTTATAAAATTTTCAGAAAGTGCAATTAAGTTTTAAAACTTATAAAATTGGTACAATCTAGTACTTTCCATTAATTCCGTCAAACTTGACTAACGGAAAAGGTTGACATGGTTTTTATTATTATTTTCTCTATCCTACGAGGCGATGATGTGGCTTTTTTAAAAAAATAAATGAATATATTCCATTGAGGTTCCATTTTACTATCACTTGTTCAAAAAGAATTCTACATCAGCGTTGTATCTTATTTAATCCTTTATTTCCAGCATATGTATGTGGCAATATGAGTGGAATTATCTCTAGAAAAGTCATATAGCAGGGGTGAGACGCTCAACGGGTCGAGAGTTGGACGTGAATGAAGAGAAGCTCTTGGTTGAAGAATTGATATGATCAAACTTCAAGAAAAGAATGCTTCAGAAAAGGAAATCACCATCGCTTTGAAGAATATGGGCCCGCAGAGGTTTGCTTGTTATTAATCGAATTGTAAACAATGCAATTGATGATCAACTCAACTGAAAGTTACATCTTTTAATTATTGATCTCAAACTCGAGCAAATTAGACGGCTACCTCAAGCTCGGCTTACCCAATGATCATCTCTAAAATTGATTGTATCATATTTATACGTGAAGCATGTCTTTTCTTTTTTCAACAGTGAACTGGAAATTAGACTCTCTTTTCAGCTATTGGGTGTTATAGTTTCAAAGCTCACGCATACATTATCATAATTCATCCATTCTGCAATTTGCCCTTTTTGTTCGTTTCAATTTCCCTATCATCCCTGTGGATTATTTGTAATTCTGGAAAAAAAAAATTTTGGCTCCAATTCAAGTGGGAGTTATTTCAACTCGGTACATAGCGAACTTATAATTGATTGATGAGGTTCAAAATTAAACATACAGAGAAAATTCATAGGAAAGGACTGCGCATGAATGATAAAGTGCCGGATGGTTCTCTAAAAGAATGCAGGGATTTTTTTTTTGGTCACGAATAATGTAGAGATTAAATAATTTACTTTTTAATGGATCTTTTAAGAAATTGGACTAGTATTTTCAGGAAAAAAATAGAAAATTGGCTCCGATATAGCTCTTGCACCTTAAATCAAAGAGTACAAAGACCAAATTGAACGATGACTAAAAATTTAGGACGAACTTTGATATCATCCTTCCTATTTAAATCTGGAGCCCATTGGCTGAATGAACTTAATGAATTAGAAGCTGAACACATGCGTATACAACTTCATTTCGAGCCAATAACTCTAACAAGAGATCGAAGTCTCGTGAAAGCTACATTGTCATAGAACACTGTCATTCTGGAATTTGCCCATTTTATTCATTTCATTTTCCCTCTCATCCTTGTGGGCTTCAATGGCGGAATCTGTTAATCCGTTCGCTGTATAGAGAGCTTGTGACTTGCTCGTAAAAGATGCAAAGTTCTTGCAGGTTGCGAGGGGACAAGGAGAAAATTATCTAAAAAGTCATAAACCTATTACACTTTTGTCAATTCAGTCCTAAACCTTTTAATTTTGTTAATTGAGTCTTTAACCATTTCACGTTTTGCCAATTGAGTCCATTCGGTCAATTTTGGTTGGAAATTACTGACGTAGATGTCGGCCGTCCTATGGGGCATGGCCATAGGATGGCTAGCGCTAACGTAAACAATTTTTGAAAATATTTTAATAATTTTATTCGAATTTTTATTTATTATTTATTTTTCCTTTTTCTTTTTTTATTGAAAATTAAAAAAATAAACTATTATTAAAAATTATTCACGTTAGCACTGGTTGCACCACGTAAGATGACAGACGTCCACATTAGCTATTTCTAGTTAAAATTGGCCAAATTGACTCAATTGACAAAACGTAAAAAATGTTAAGGACTCAATTGACAAAATTAAAAGGTTTAGAGCTGAATTGACAAATATGTAATAGATTTGGAATTTTTTGGATAAATTTTCCTGAGACAAGAGAAGGGCATGCCAGAGGAGGCGAAATCCAATGCGTCTCACAAGACGCTGATGCGGGAGCCAAGATGAAATGAGAGTCGTCGTTGTTGTTGGAGTCATCGTCAAAGTCAATGCTAAACCAAAGGAGCGAACACCCTTGCATTTTCAAGTGCTGGCCACATGTTTGACAAAATGGCCATGTGGATCGAGACAACGTTCGAGCGCGTGAAATATGAGCCACATGTTGCCTTTGAATCGTCCAATTCTCGCATTCACATGAACAATGACTTAGGAAAAAGAAAATCCGCGATTAAGGAAAAGACCAATCAGCATCTCCAACTTGTACTGATTGAAGGGACGAGAAAAAACCTGTGGCCGTGCTTCATGGGACAGTCGGTGTCCTAGAAATTTCCTATCAAAATTGGCCAGATTGACTCAATTGAAAAAATTTGAAAGATATTAAGGACTTAATTGATAAAATTAAAAAGTGTAAGATTGAATTAGCAAAAGTACAATAGATTTGGGGTTTTGTAGATAATTTTTCCAGGGGCAAGCGGAGGGCACGCGAGAGGAGGCGAAATCCAATGCTTCACAAAAAGACGCTGATGTGGGAGCCAAGATGAAAAGAGGTCGTTGCAGGGTCATCGTCAAAGTCAATGCCAAACCAAAGTAGGGAACACCCTTGCATTTTCAAGTGCTGGCCACATGTTTGACAAAATGGCCATGTGGATTGAAACCGCGTTCGAGCGCGTGAAATAAGAGCCACATTTTGCCTTCGGTTTGAATCGTCCAATTCTCGCATTCACATGAACAACGACGTAGGAAAAAGAAAGACCGCGATTAAGGAAAAGACCAATCGGCATCTCCAACTTGTATTGATTGAAGGGACAAGAAAAAACGGAAGTATGATGCCGAATTATAGCTATTAGACCATGCGAAACGAATCTTTTGACGGCACATAAGACAAAGATTATGGCTAATTAGCCCGTGTGCCATTACCTCTACGCCATTGCCTATATTTAGTTAGCTGCAGAGAGCGATGAGCTCATTGACCCAAGCCCAGTATTATTGCTGAACGATAATAAAGCTGAATTGTTGTTTCCAGTTGATCCCAGGAACGAGCTCCGGCTCGCTCATCGGATCAGTAGCGAATCCTAAGGAGAGATCTACCTCGGTGGGTTGCTCGCTTACTGATGCCCGGTTTTTGCTTCATACGTTCTGCTTCTAGTTTGATTCTGATTGAGGTTTTCGCAAATTATTTGCAGGTACTATTTATTATTCAGAGGAACGAGGGAGTCGCAGCTAAGCTTGTGAGTCGCTCTATTCCCAGTCAAATTGACCTTTTTATTTTTCTAGTTTCTGTGCGTTCTAGTTCTTTTTTTTTAAAGGATTGTTGTAGTAATCGCATCGGTATTTTGTTGATTTAGAAATTAGATGTTTTACGAATTATTAGGCGGTGTGGATTGTGCTCTGTTCCGTTTTTCTCTTGGGTTGTTTGACAAGAACAGATATTGGTGGTTCACTTGCTTCCAGCAAGTCGGCGGTGCTAACTGTTATAGTTTAGAGTGAATTTTGTTAACAAGCGGAAGCTATACGCGGTTTGCGGCTTTCACATGCATGTGTATTTACGTTTAGAGTTGGGATGCTTGAATTCATGCTGTGCTTCGGGTATAATATGATTGTAAGCCCAAGTATCAACTTTTACGGTGCATGTCTCGACTTTTTTTGACAAGTCAGTGATCATTATCCCTTGTTGAGTACAGGCTCTTTGCCTGAAAGATTACTTATAAGAGAAGATAAGAAGATCCATGATAAAAAAAAAGGTCGATTTTTTCGCTTGAAACATGTATGTTTTGATTGAGTGAGATTAGTGAGGGGGTTGACTAGGAAGCAACTGAGGCAACTTTTTGATGACACGAAGAAGCTCTGTTACCAATTAAGTAGCGAGAGTGACTAGTGACTAACGCACATATCTTAATAGTGGAGGCGTGGAGAGAGAGAGAGAGAGAAAGCGGTCACAATAGACCTTTCGGTCTTGCCTCAGGTGCTTTGTGAAGGCAACCCACCATTTGAGTTCATAGCTTCCATGGTTGTGCATTTGGGATTTGAATTTCTAGGGTTTTTAAGAGCTATGAGAGTGGGTTTGTTTGGTTTACTAGTTATGGCAGGGCTGAATTATGATATGTGAGGTATGCGGTTAGACCTAAAATCCTCTTGAGATGAGCTAAAACTTTTTGAATAATTGCTAGGTCCAGTGCGAGGGTTATGAAGATAATAAGATAATTGAGTTTTTCCACGTGTAATGTGAATCTATTCTTGCAGAGGTAATAGATCTGATTAAAATTCTTTTTTCGTCTAGAGCGTCTTTTGAATGTATGAAAAGCAAACATTCTTTATTAATAGCATAATATAAACACGTATTAAAAACATATTCTGTTAAAGTAATTCGATTTTTGTTTCATCTCTCTTCTATTTTATTCACGTAATCTACGTGCAAGAACATCAAGTTTATACAAAACAGACCTAATATAGCTAAATAATTTAGATTTCTTTTTCAATCATAAGAAGTTGTATCAAAATGTAGCTACTTCTAATCGAAATTTTTACATGCTTATTAGATGGGTGCAATGTAATATGTGGATTTTGCTCAATTACAACATACTTGAGGCAAACTCATGATGAGAAACTTTAGTTCCAAATTTTTCCCCATACTCTTAAGACAATCTCCCTATGAGTAATCTCTTGACAAATTTTGCTTTAATTGCAACATATTTAACTGGGTCCACTGCTTCGCCCATGATCAACATAGGTTCACAAATAGAACCGCCATGAGAAAGCCTTTCCTAAGGGGATCTCAGGCCGAAAGCTTAAAACCCCACATCCTGCCAGCCTATTCCTGTATAGATACAGGAGCGAGCCACACCAATCTGTATGCTTTTTCCCCCTCTCCAAATTCCATGGTTTCCACTCTCTAATCCCACGCTAATTTAAGCATCGGAGGATTCTTAACGAGCCAGGACCTGGGGACTCCTTGTCTTTGTGGTATGCAGGTTCCAACCGCAATTTGAAAAGAAAAAGTAAAAATTCCATGCCTGTTGCAATTCCAAGAGAAAAAAGAACAAACATAATTGCCAGCTTATTACACTTCGAAGAAAATACCAAATAAACCTCAACGTGAGTGAACACAAGTTTGGCGGACAGGCATATCTATGCCTATTGAAGATTTGCGGCTATGTTAGCCAGTCTCTAGAGGCAAACTCTTTTGCTCCGATTTTTTTCGCCATACTTTTAAGACAATCTCACCGTGAGCGAGCCTTTAACAAGAAAGCATCTTATTTAACAAGCACCATCAGACAAACTCAAGATTCGCCCTTTGATCAAGAATCAATTTTTACCTTATTAGATTAAAGACATAACTCTTTCGGGAAGTTTTAATAGCATTTCGTCGAGGGAAACTCGACATAAATCCAACACCTTGATAATGGGGAGATCCAAGAGGGAGCCCATAACTTAAGTCTACTGACAATCTCGTTAGATTTATATTTACTCAAATAGCTTAAACCATTAAATCATGGCCAAGTATCAATTGCTTTTTTTAGCTCTAGAAATCCAATGCGGAAACTTTTCTTTTTCAACACTACTCACTTGGGCATTCAACACGTTTTGTGTGGGATAATGTGACTCATAGTATAATAAATGTAGGTTTTGAAATTTCCTTTTGTCTATCATAAGTGAGAAATTATTTGCACATCAGTGTTAATATCTTGGAACATCTGTAACTCTAGCTACAGAACATGTCTTCTACTGCGGACAGTACATATGCCTGTAAACTTCCCCATTACTCCATTCTTTTTTTATTAGGGTGAATCTCTTACATTGGTTGATATAGAATATTCATTATCAATGCAATATGCAACTTTCTAAGTACTTATTCCTCCTCTCTCTTCTTTGCAACTCGCAGGCCTATATGTTCAGAGCGTGTTAATGCATGAAAAGTAAATTCTCAAGTCATTCTCTATCATAAGCTCCACTGATCATTGTCAAATAGTGCAATACCAATGGCCGAGGCTGTTGTTTCGTTCGTGGTGGAGACAATAGGAAAGCTGCTCATCGACGAGGCCAAATTCTTGAGGGATGTGGAGGGCAAGGTCGAGGACCTGCAAAGGGAGCTGAAGCTGATCCGGTGCTTGCTGAGGGATGCGGATGCGATACGAGAGCACCACCAAGCTGTTGGAGAATGGATTGCCCAACTCCGAGACGTTGCCTATGATGCCGAGGACGTCATCGAGCGATACGCCCTCAGAGTTGCGCTGAAGAAAGGACAAAATAGCACCAAAGCATATGCTTGCCTCATGGCGTCGTGCACAAGCGTGCCGGTTCATGTGGTGGGGACAGAGATTGAGGGCTTGAAATCCAGAATTTCTTATCTTGGAAGGCAGATGGAGAATTATGGCATTCGATCGGTGGATGAGAGCAAACATGCGCACGCAAGAACTTCGACGCCAAAACGGACTTATGCTCATTTCGTGGAGGAAGACTTTGTTGGGAGGGAAGATAATATTGAGGTGTTGGTGAAAGAGCTGTCGAAGGATGGAAAACAGCACAGAGTTATTTCTATATGTGGAATGGGTGGTTTGGGTAAGACCACACTCGCTAAGAAAGTCTTCACTCGTGATGAAGTGAAGAACAATTTTGATGGTTTTGCTTGGGCTTGCGTATCTCAAGAATACCATGTGAAGGATATCTTGGTGCAAATTCTCGTGAAGTTGATCCCTGATCGAAGAAAGGATGTTATGGAGATGATAGATGACGAATTGTTTGGAACTCTTTATAAGATCCAACAAGAGAAGAGATGTATTGTGGTTCTTGACGATATTTGGACTAAACAGGCATGGGATGGTCTTCGAGCCGCATTCCCATTCGAGGACACGAGAAGCAAGCTATTGGTAACGACTCGCAATAGAGAAATAGCAAAGTATATCGATCCTCTAGGTTTTTTCCATGAACCTAAGTGCTTATCTGACCAGGAGAGTTGGGAGTTGCTGACTAAGAGGGCATTTCCTGAAACGAAAGGTAAGGCTTCTTTAAGGTTATTATCCTAACATATAATAGCTTCAGGAGATTAATTGGTTCATGAGATTTTTATAGTCGGAGACGAAGGGACAAATACAAGGTACTTCATTGCTTAGTCTGCCTTTTGAAAGGTTTAAAAAAATTTATGAATCGATGGTTACTATGAGTTCGAATAATCGATATATGTAGTATTCAGCATCAAAATGTTGATATTCGGGGAATGAGATGCTCCTTTTATTACTTAATGGCTAGCGATTGTACCTCCAAAAATCCAAAATTTTGCTCCTCCTTTCATCCAATGAGGAGAAATATCAAAGAGGCTTTTATATGGCCAACATGATAAACGATTTTGATAGGAATTCATGAAATAATGGGGAGTCTAGCTATGTTCCTTCTTCCACGGGCCCAATCTCAGGTCCACCCATTTTTGTATTTGTGAATAGCTGGTCCAAAAATTAGAGTGGGGATTGTTAAGAAAATCGTGAATCGTAATACGACAAAAGAGAGTGGTAACATATAGATTTCGCTGTAATTTTCATTGCAATAGAGATTACTAGCGCACTCAACTCAGAGAAGATTAGTAAGACCCTCAAGTTATCTGTGCGGCTTTCCTTTTTCCTCATCTAGTAGGATTATTATTTCTATACATTTGCTCGAACCACTTCATTCTAGCCGCATATAGCAAAAATGATACGTTCCGTTTGTCAATTTAGTGTTCTTGATCTTCCAGGTGTTGGTGGAGGCATATATAGGATGCTTGCTATGGTCCCCATAGTCTTTCCCCTTACGAAAGCATAATTGAACCACATATTATAAACAACTATAACATCTTATTCATATATCAAAAAGCACATATTCGTCCTTGAAGTTATCTTCTTATTATAGTTGCAATTTGCGGCCCGATATTGTGCAGAGATCACTGAAAACATGAAGAGGTTAGGAGATGAACTCCTTAAAAAGTGTGGAGGATTACCCTTGGCTGTCATCGTGCTTGGTGGGCTTTTGGTGGTCAACGAGTGGGAGACGGTTTACAGAAACATCAATTTACATTTTAGAGATAAGAATGATGTATCAAAAGTGTTGGCCTTAAGCTATGATGATCTTCCATGGCATCTAAAGCCATGCTTCCTCTATTTGGGTTGCTTTCCGGAGGATGCTGAAATCCCTGCAATAGAAGTTCTTCGCATGTGGATTGCAGAAGGCTTTGTGTCGCCCGATGCATATGACGAATATAGAGAAATTACAGTGGAAGACATAGCAGAACAATATTTAATGGAGTTGGTTAACAGGGGAATGGTTCAAGCACGATTCAAATTGAGTGGAAAGATCAAAACCTGTCACCTCCATGACTTAATGCGAGACTTATGCATCTCCAAGGCTACGCAAGAGAGTTTTCTTAGCATTCGTAACATTCAGCTGGATAATGAGATGGAGGATTGTTCTTCTTCGATGGCAACTTGCAAAACACGAAGGCTTTCTCTTAATATGTGTGGAAGTGCTAAAGGAAACAGCTTCTCGAGAGTCAAACAAATAGGAAGGACCATGATCCACCTTCGAACTCTTATGTTCTTCTATTCTAAGGCATATGGTAGAAGGATGTGGGAGCAATTTCGACCTATTTGCATCAACAATAAGTTTCTCAGAGTTCTAAAGTTAGAGCACTTATTTATTGTGAGTGGAAGTGTACCTAAAGAGGTGGGAGACCTGGTTCATTTAAGGTACTTAAGTTTAGCAGAAAGTATGTTTGAGGGCTTGCCGCAATCTATGGGGAACCTTTTATGCATGGAATTCTTGGACCTGTGTGTGAACCAAAGAGTAACCGTGCCAAATGTGTTGTGGAAGATGAGAAGGTTGAGGTATCTCTGTCTTCCCTACAAATTTGCTGTCGAGGGGAAATTTCGTGGGGACCGAATGAAGTTACAATTGGACACTTTAAAGAGTCTACATACGTTGAGAAACTTTCGTCCGAATAATTGTGACATGAATGATGTAGCTAAACTGACCAATCTGCGAAAATTGACTTTGGCCACTATCGACGATGAAGATGACAAGTTGGAGATAATTTCACAACTTGCTAAATTCGATTTGAAACATCTTCAATCCTCATCTTTTGGATTCAAAAGCCTTACATTATTCACTGAAGGTAAAATGAGCAAAATGTCAAGCTATCAGTATTCCTGCAAAATGCACATATTTGGAAAAATAGAGAAGTTACCGGAACATAGGAATCTACCCCAGCAACTGAGGAAGCTGGGCTTACTCTATTCCGCACTAGAAGAAGATCCGATGCAAATATTGGAGAAATTGCAGCACTTGGTTGTTCTCGTGCTGGGGCCTTCAGCTTTCGTGGGGAAGGAAATGGTTTGCTCTGCGGGAGGCTTTCCTCAACTCAAGCATTTAGTTCTTGATCATCTGCTCAATTTGGAGGAGTGGAGGGTGGCTGAAGGAGCCATGCCTCATCTTTCTCGATTAGGGATCAGCCGATGTCCCAATTTGAAGACGGCGGTTCCTGAAGGAGTCCACACATATGACGGTTATGAAGCCTGGCATCGCGAGTGGCGGAAGCTCTTCCAATACTGGCGGTGAGAGAGAGAGAGATGCAGGTATGTGTGGTCAGGGGTCGCCCCAATTGTCCGCTGAGAGAGAGGGAGAGGGAGAGGGAGAGGGAGAGGGGGAGGGGGAGGGCGGGAGAGGCGTCTGGCTTGGTGGGTTGTCAAGGCGGTGGGTGGGCCCCCCCAAGATAATAATAGCAGATGTGGAAAATGGAACATTTGATTATTTGATATCGCAAATGCTTTATAAAATCGATATAAGAGGAAAAACATGTAATTCGATATATTTTTATAAGTGAAAATAGGGTATGTATTATGGCAATCCTTCGATAAATTTCCCCATCGTCTTCTTCTTCCCATCGTAAATCACTGTTCCTTTCATTTTCTCTCTCATCCTCGAGGACTTAAATTAGTGGAGGGTAGTAATCTGTTGTTTCGCTCGCTGTCGAGATCATAGCTCATGGGAAGATTGCAAAGTCCTCGCTGAGCGCCGTGAGGAGGTGGAGCGAATTCGATGCAATCCTTCTCCAGAAGACGCTGGATGGGAGGCAGCATATCTGAAGAAATAAGAGCCATCGCTTCTGGTGTTGGAAGGCGTCGTCGTGAAAGCTGCATTGCAGGAGGGAGGAGAGGAGAGAAGAGAAGATCCAATCTTTTCCATGGTGGCGGTCAGATGTTTGACGAAATGCGCATGTGAGTAGATACTGGGGCTAACATAGATCTGAAATCCTCGTGTTGCTTTCGGATTGTGCAATTGATTTCTCTGTATATTGATAAACGATGACGAGAAATACAAAAGTGCATTTTGCATCTCCCGGTCTCCTACATTTTTTGTTTATATCAGTATCCCTGTCTCCTTCATGTAAGGCTGCAAGATACGCCTAACCATTCTTTTATGTGTGCTTACTTGATTCTTTCCCTGTGTACAAGAGAGATCAAATTGCTGGATGTAGCGAGAAAGCATATGATTATACGCACGTCAAATGTTGCTGTTCTTCTGCGACCGAGAACTTGAGGTATATATCAAAGGAGGTGAATATTATGAGAGGACCTTTAGCTTTCTCTACCCGGAATTACTATCTAAATTGACTAACTATGTCAAAAGGATAATATCAGCTTCAGCATCAGTTCCGACCTTCGTAAGGGTCTCATAAAACCTCTTATAGAGTAGCTAATTTAGATCCTTTTCAACTATCATGATTGCTTCATCTTAATATGGGATCACAGAGAGATGTAACGCTGGAATTTGCCCATTCTGTTTGTTTCATTTCTCATTCTTTTGGGCTTCAATGGCGGATGGGAAGGGCTTGCGTACCCTCCGATTACCATGCGTAGGGTCTTACAAAATGCAACTTACTGAAGTTACTCCAGGTAAACTCCATGATGTCCCAGATTTTATCACATTGTGACCAACTCACTAGAAGAGCAAAAGAGATTCTAAATAGCGGAATATATCTTGTTTCGGCAATAGTATGGAAAATGGCAGGGAGAACAGCTATCTCTCGTACTACGGAATGATGTATCGCAGATGACGAATATAACTCTCAATACTGTCCATGTGTTTTAGAGACTACGAATGTAGGAGATGTTCATAGATCACAGAGGCCTTTCTTGGCACTCACTACGATAAGAACTTCGAAGCATCACATGCGATATATCTCTTACCAAGCACTCTTCCCTTCACAAGATTTATCCGTTGGTTTATTAAGACCAAAAATTTGGAGTTGGCTCATGCTTAAGAACTTTCTCTCAGTTTAAGATGAGGGAGTCAGACAAGAATCTGCAAAACTACATGACAAGTTGCGTTAATGGTAAAATGTCCACAGGCTAACATTGTATGACCCATTTTCTGGTTTAACTACCATTATGCATATTGCACGTAACAAGATTGGTCTATTAGATGAAGGAAGTTCATGAGTCACAGAACTACTTTTCTTGTTGTTTGGACGTCTCGAGGACATGATCTTTTATGACTGATTCTCTTCTGAATTGCGATTATATTCCCACATGAGCATCCAATACCTATCAGAACCCTGAAGATCCACTTCAATTTCTACTCATGTTGGGAGGAATATAATATCGAGCTATATTCCAGCAAATACAAACGTCTCTTCAAGGCCTTGCTTAGCATGCGGTAAGTTAAGAAAGGACAGCAAGTTTTACAAGTTCTTGGACGAGAACTAATAAGAACAGGGGATGGGGGAAAGTGGATAGACGCATATCTCAGTTTCTTTGCATCGCAAGTGTGACCTCTGCTACACTACTAAATCGTGGTTCGGCAATAAATTATAGATACTTCAAGTTCTCTCTTTCTAGAATTTCAATATTATGATTGGGCTAACATATCATTCTATTCAAGCTCAACTAGTGCTACGGAAGGCATTTGGTAGCCACCGCCATCTATATCATCTCCAACCAATACCTCGAGTTCGACCAAAAAAAAAAAAAACACAATACCTCGAGCACCAAACTATTAGCTCAGCACTCGAGATCAGTGTCTCAGCAAAGATCTGATTCAACAAACTGCAGCACTTGGCCCTTCATAAAGAACTTTCCGATTTTTGTTTGCATGTGTGACTCGAAGCCCACATTAAGATGATCTTGAATCAATAAAATCCAATAGATGATTATGTTCTGCTGCAGGATCTTGGTCAGTTCGAAGAGAACTCAAAGAACTCGGGAAATAAGTTCAAGTGTGCAGCTGCATCATGAGCTAAAAGTATGTGAGATCTGCTAAGCTTAAACAACTCCAATAATCAATGCAGTTGACTCTGCAATTTCATTTTTCTCCTCAATCAATAGTTAGCCCAATGTGTTATTGATTCCTGAATCGGTCAAGCACCGACTATGCACACTAATATAAAAATCTGTAGATGCACTAAATGAATTCATATGATTCTTTATTAGGGAAAAAGGAAGAAGTCGGCTCTAGTCTTAGCTCTCGTACCTTACTAAGAGAATTTAATTCTTTATGATATCGGGAGCCCACTGGCTGAATGGGCTTCTGAACATTTCATCAAAGACAGAAGAATTCAATACCCGAACAATCTCTTTTCTCTTTGCAACAATAAACTGGAAATTAGACCATTTCTTTTCAGCCGTTACGGGTAATAGATTCGAAGCTCGAACATACATCGTGGTAATTCGCGAAAGCTGCATTATCCATTGTGCAATTTGGCCACTTCGTTCGTTTCATTTTCCCTATCATCCTTTTGCACTTCAGTAGGGGGAATCTGTTGTTTCGCTTGCTCGCTGTCGAGAGAACTCGCGACTTTTGCTCATGGAAGATTGCATAGTTCTCGCGAGCGCCCTAAGGGGACAAGTGAAGGGTGAAGGGCATGCGAGAGGAGGCGGAGCGAATTCAAATGCTTCTCCAAAGACGCTGGATGGGGAGGCACGAAGAAATGAGATTCGTCGCTTGTGGTGTTGGAGACATCACCACGAAAAGCTGCATTGGAGAGGAGAGAGGATCTGAGCATTTGGTAGCGCTGGTCAGATGTTTGACGAAATGCGCGGGTGAGAGTAGAAACAGGGGTACATGAAACTGAGATCGGCACGTTGTTCCCTTGTCTCTCTTCCAGGTTCCCTCATCGCTCGTTCCTAGTCTATCCTTCACACGGGCATTCATATGCGAAGATCTGTTCACACCATAATTAGCGAATATTCGAGCCTCTCTCTATCGCAGGAAAAGGCCATTATGCCCCCACACCATTCCCAGCACTGAGATTGAACAAGAGATATGGGCAAAAATTTCGAGATTGAAATCCTCATTTGAGTTTGCTTTACATATAGTTGAGAATCTTGGGATCCGCAATAGTTTCAACGAATTTTTGTATGATTCCTGAGATCCTTTAGATGCCATTAACAGCAGAAGTTCAAAAGTTCATCCTTGTTTTCCGCTAATCAGGAAAAGTCACGAAAGTATCAATCAGCTATGGCATCCATAATCATATTAATTTTACTTGAAGCAGTAGAACTGCGACCAGCATTGCACCTCTTCCCGATGGGCAGTTATGTCATCTTCGCTGTCAGCTAAGTTGAAATTTGTTGCATGGTATTGTACAGAAATTCATGAAGACGTGGAGAGGCTAAGGAAATGAACTCCTTAAAAAAGTGTGGAGGATTAGCCTTGGCAGTCATCGTCCTAGGTGGACTTGTTGCGAAAAAAGCAACAAAGATCGAGTGGAAGGCAGTTTACATAGACATCGATTGACATTTTAATGTGGAAAGTGATCCATTAAAAGTGTTGGGGTTGAGCTACGAAAATTTACCATATTTACCTAAAGCCATGCTTCCTATATAGTTGGTTCATAATATCCAATCGTTGATGATAAAAATCTTTAATTGAATAATCTTGACTAAAGATGAACTGAATATTTTTGTGCAGGCTAAGAGCTCTCGCATCCGAGGCACAGTGACGCAATTATTAGCCAACAATTGGGATTTCTAGCAGCTAGTGATTCACTCTGTAGCTTTACTCCTCTTTTTTAAGTTTATGTAGTTTTCATTGTATAAAAGTCAAACAATTGTTGGTTCCACTGAATTGATGCTTTTGGATTCAAAGGACCCTTTCTTGGAATCGTATAAGACGTGATGGCAGATGGATTCCCATTTTGAGTAATATTATTTCTTTGTATAAGATTTATTTTCTATCGTTTGGATGACAAAAAATTTTGACCTTGAAAATACTTGCCACTGGAAATTTTCGCCGTGGATTATCTATTCATGATTCCGGGAAAAAGATCTTTGATTCCAATTCAAGTGAGAGTGAATAACTCTCTACATAGCAAAGTTGTAATTTATCGGTGGGGTTTAAAAATTGAACATAAAGATAAAATTCAAAAGCAAGGAATGTGCATGAGCGATAAAGTGATGGGTGGTTCTATAAAAGATTGCGAAATTTAAATATTTCACTTTTATTTTGGTATTTTAACAAAGTGAACTAGTAATTTCTGGAAAAAAAGAAAAT